CTTTTATTTTTCCTGCAGAATTGCCTAGGATCTATATTTTAGACACAAAACTTTAATTCTGCCTCTTCTATAATCTGATTTACTCTGTGCTTCATGTGTAAAATACACTACCCAACCAGACTAAGCCAGAGCATTAAGGCCTGAGCTGTTTTTATGTCCTTGAATAAAAGTATAAGAGTATGCACAGATAGAAGGAGCCAGGAGAAACCAGCCAGCTTTACAAGATATTTGACTGCATGCTCCATTCCAGCTCCTCACCTGTCTGCAGATATTGTACCAAGGCAGAAATGAAACAGATGGTACAGGATGCACGAAATGTGCAGCTGAAGCAAGGAATGATTGCAGCCTTTTTGAGTCCTCATCTCAATTCACAATCCCTTTTCTTTTTGAAAAACTGAGGAGACATGCACTGTGTTAAAGGACATACTAACAAGAACAACAAAAAAATTGCTGCTGAAGGAGAGCATTTTCTGAAACAACTTTCACTAAGGACTCCTTGGTCATTTAGTTCAGAGCCCCATCATCTTGCTTCCTTCACAAACAAGAACTTTCTAAGGAAGCTGCAGCACTGCAGTGGCAAAGAGCGAAGTCTGGAAGAACTCAAACATTTCATACAGTTAGACATAGTTAATTCATGCTGAATTATCTTCACTGCATAAATGTCTGTGCAAACGACAGACTTTAATAAGCCTTCAAAGCTGACACACTATTTATCACTGATTACATTTTTAAAATCAAAGTAACTATGCCTTTAACAGACATGTTTAGATTAAGACTGACACTAACTCAGTATATCAGTTTAAGTCACTTGCAATTATGCAGGTGCTTGGGCAGCCTGTATTTCTGTCAGTTAAAGCTAAATTGAGGCAGAGAGCCCATATCCACACTGAATAACGAAGCCCTTGTCCCAGGGGACAGATACTGCTTCTCAAATGTAGAATATTCCCAAAGTTTTCCTCTCTGCACTGTAACTGTGTGATCTCTTCTTGCTGCAAGAAGGTTGTCACAGTGATAGTGTAAGCATAAAATCTTGCTCTGAGAGTCTATATAATAGCTAACATGTCCAGGAGGTCCAATAAAGCTTTGTGAAAAACTTCAGTTATACGCATATGATTTTGGAGATACATCAATATTGTTTTAATGTAATTTTATATATATCTACATATAATCACTATGCAAGGGTTGATGCATGTCCATAATGAACTGTATTTTTTGTACACAGCTGGCTACCATTAAAAAAAACGTTAGCTTGGTGAGTGATGAAAGAAGAAAGAAATATTATTGTACAAAGGAGTTCATGTTATTTGCTGCACCTCGTTAATGTTTCAGTTTGTGAAGCACTCCAAATACACAGAGAAGTTATCAGGAATTTTTTTTCCTGCCTTGTAAGAGTTTTACAGCATTTGATCAAACCTTCTGAAGTAAATTAGATGGCATTTCATGAGCAGCCAACTAAGAATGCTGAAGGCACAAAACAGTTTTGATATCCAGGAAATCACAATTAATTTCAACTACATAAAATGGAATGCGAGGCTGCACGAACCATTTGTTATTTGTCACCTGTTTCATTTGATTAGAAACGTATGGTATTTATCAGTCCGTAGAGTGGAAATAGAATTTGCTGTAAACGATAAAGAATGTAAAAAGATTACAGGTATAATATACATATATGCTTCTTATCAAAGGATATGATAGCTCTCACTTGGGCAGACTACCAAGACTCTATATTATACTGATTTTTATTGTTCAGTGAGAAAATTTCTAGGTTAAACAGAAGTTAAAAGCTAAAAAGTACTACAGACATTTATTTGACAATACATTTGACAGCACCCAAGAACAAGAAAATAAATTCTAAATACAACTCCACTGATAAGGAATTCATTTAAAGAAAGTTCTTTCTGAAAATGAAGCCCTGTTTCCCAGTTAAAGTTGATAATTTGCCAGCCAGTATCCAACAGATCGAGATGACTGCAGCTTTCCTCACCTTGACAGAAATTCCAGAAGAAAACCACCACTCAACTCATATCTACCAAAACAGTACTCAACAAGGACAGGAAAAAAAAATTATTCAATGCATGGAACAGGAGCCGTTTTTGCCCATGTAGGTATTCGAAAGGGCAGAATCTAAATCTGCGATATTGTACAAATACTGACTAAACTATCCATTTAGTTCTGTGCTGATGGACAGCTTGTCTTTTTTAATTTTCTTTCTCTGCAAGTTAGCTTGGACTTATTCAATGGTTTTTCGTTTGTTTGTTTGAATGTTACCAGTCAAGAGAAGGTATTCATCATTTGTGCTCTTTAACAATCAATGACATCAATGACGGAATCGAGTGCACCCTCAGCAAATTTGCTGACGACACCAAGCTGAGTGGTGCGGTTGACACAGTTGAAGGACGGGATGCCATTCAGAGGGACATCAAGAGGCTGGAAAGGTGGGCCCGGGTGAACCTGATGAGGTTCAACACGGCAAAGTGCAAGGTTTGGCACTTGGGCCGGAGGAATCCCAGGCATCCCTACAGACTGGAAGGAGCGGTCCTTGAGAGAAGCCCTGTGGAGAAGGACTTGGGGGTCTTGGTAGACGAAAAGCTTAACATGAGCCAGCAGTGTGCCCTCGCGGCTTGGAAGGCAAATGGGATCCTGGGCTCCAACAAAAGAGGGGTGGCCAGCAGGGACAGGGAGGTGATTGTTCCCCTCTACTCTGCTCTCATGAGGTCCCATCTGGAGTACTGCGTCCAAGTGTGGAGCCCCCAGTACAAAAAAGACAGGGAGCTGTTGGAGAGGGT